GTGGTTACCCACTGCTGACGTGTGGTTAGCAGCCCAAGATGTAACTTTGTGGCTCGTCCTGGGCCACAAAGGGATGGGCACGGAGCCCTGCAGCCTAGGCCCTCGCTCCTTCCGGCAGCAACCGCTGCTCGGCTGATGGCTCCGAGACAACCAAGCAGGGCGCACACTCCCCTCACGGGAAGGCGAACACACCAGGCAGTGCCCCGGCCAGTCAGGTCCCTAGACCTTGCCCGCCTCTCCCTCTGGCTCTGCCCCATGGCCTCTGCCCAGCCTGTACATGTGTGCTGTGGGTGTCCACTTCCTGCTGCCTCCCCGCCCCACCCCGAGCCAGATGAGGCCACCCCTCAGAGCTTCATTCAGGCAGACCCCCGGCGCCATGCCAGGCCGCTGGTTTCTGCTGGGATTCCAGTGACCCTGAGCCTAGCCCAGGCTCTGCCTTCTCATCCACTAAGCCTGGCACGCTGCCCGGCACCCAGACGTGTTTGGTAAATGTTTGCTAATGGAGTGTCTAATGAACGAGCAAACACCGGGGCCCCAGGGCAGCTGTCCGTTTGGGGAGATGAAGCGAGAAGGGCCCAGAGGGTCAGATCACATGGGACTATTGAAGGCCGGGCAGAGGCTTCCTTCTGCATGAGGTGGGCCAGGCTTTCCAACCCCGGGGGCTGGGTGCCCCTCAGAGACGCTGAGGTGCTATTGGGCACTGTGGGCACCCTGCAGAGAAGGGACGTAGACCTCAGAGGAGGGGCGGGGCCGAGGGGTACTTTCATAAGATCTGGTGACTCTCAAGTGTGATGTGGTCGGTGAGATCACCTGTCAGATGAAGAGCCGTCAGGAGTTCTTTCCCACGCTCAGCCCTGCAGCCTGAGTCACCCCCACCCATCAGCCCCCCTCCCTTGGGAGAGGTGGGTGGGCAGCACCAGCTGGGTGGGCTGTTTTTCACAGGGCTACCCTGGAATTAGCCCCCTAATAACTAACCTGGGGTCCTGGAGCTCCACCTCCTGCACCCTGCCTCTCCTCTGGGGGAGGGAGGGTCCCCGCTATAGGGCACATACCACGTGCCACGTGCTGGGCTCAAACCTGGTAATGCCACTTCTGAACTGTGTTCCTCAGGGAAACCATTTTCCCTCGCCAAGCCTCAGTCTTCCCCTCTGCAGAATGGGCATGTACGTAGCAGATTGTGAAGAGAAGGGAAATCAGAATTACTAAGAGCCCCCAATAAAATGATTTTTTTAAAAAAAGGTAAAAACAAAACAAAAAAGAATTCCTACAGGTGTAGAGCCTCACTGCAAAGGTTCTCAGTTCTGGCTGCATGTTTGCGCCACTTGGGCCCAACCCCAGAGGCTGATGGGCTTGTTCCTGTTTCCTGGGCAAGTCTCATGTGCAGCCTGAGCCGGGAACCACTGCCCAGCTCTGCCCAGTGCTCCATCCTTGTTCTTTGGCATGTACACAGCAGCCCTGCCAGGGGCAGCTTCGCTCCCAGTTGACAGACTTGTAGTTGTAGCTGGGATTATTGCTCAGGTTCCTTTCTTCCACCCCAGGTAGCCTCTGGGACTGGGGGCGGACCAGCCAGAGCCTGGCTTCTCCCCTCTTCCAAGGCAGACCTAAGGGCCTCTGAGTGAGGGCACCATCCTAGGTTCAACGTCTTACTCACCTGTGGATTGAAACGGATTCCCACCTACAGAGAGCCCTGCAGTGTGTCCCTGAGGAAAACCAGGGCTCGAGGCCCACCCTGGAGGGCTAGTGCAAGGTGAGGTCTCCCTGCAGGGAAACGGGGAGCAGCCAGTCTCCGCCACGACCAAGGAGAAGTGTCTGCGGCAGGTGGGCTTCCTGGATGCAGGATCGATTGATCGACATTTTTAGAACTTGTGCTGTGGGTGAAGGTTCGCAGAGCACATTGGTTTCCCACTCACAGTCCTCACACGTTCCAATTTGTAACACCGACTGTGGTTCCCGTGATGTGACGGAGCCCTTCCCACTTCCACACTGTCTTCCCTGTTCCCTCCGTCCTTTGTGCCTCCTGAGCCGTCCCCAGCGAGCGCTGCCTTTGGAGTTGATGGTTCTAGGAGGTGCGCACCTCTGGGTGTTACTGAGCACCTTACGGCTTGTCAATTGTTTGGTGGAAAGTTGAGCTCCGGGAAAGGGTTACAGATCTCCCAGCAGTTCGTTGGCCAAGAAAGAGAGGTCCCCAACACTGAGATTGTTACAAACTCCCCTGGTGATGCCAATTGCACAGCCTCAGGCGCCAAACCCCGTTCCTGCCTGGGACTGGCCTGGGGGGTCTCCTGAAGCTGAGGGTCAGTGCTCCGCATCCCCACTGGAGCTGGCACTTGCGGTGAAGTAAAATTACTTGTTATGCCTCTACTGCCCATAGCCCTCTCCCTCCCACCAAATGCTGGTGATGGTGCTCAGGTGCCGAGTCGTCCCGACTCATGGTGACCCCGTGCACAGCAGAGGGAAACCCGCCCGTCCTGCCCCTCCCACTTGTTCTCATGCCGCCCCTGTGTCCACCCATCCTGTCCGGGGTCTCGCTCACCGCTCCTCTACTGACCCGAGCTGGTGTCCTTCTCCAGGGACTGGTCGCTCCTGACAGCATGTCCCAAGTAGGTGAGACCAAGTCTCGCCACCCTTGCCTCTAAGGAGCACTCTGGCTATATTTCTTTTAAGACAGATCAGAGTGTCCATTTAGCCGTCCACGGTACTTTCAATACGCTTCTGCAGCACTGCAATTCAAATGCATGGATTCTTCTCCAGTCGGAATTCCTTATTCAATTCCAACTTTCACCTGCATCCGAGGCAATGGAAAATACCACGGCTTGGCTCAAGCACACCTTAGTCCTCCAAATAACATCCTTGCTTTACACTAAGATCTTGTGCAGCAGGTTTACCCAATGCAATGTGCCTTTTGATCTCCTGACTGCTGCGCCATGAGCATTGATTGTGGATCTAAGCAAGACAAAAGATCCTTGACACCCTGAAGCTTGTCTCCACGTACCATGATTGGTCCAGTTGTGAGGGGGTTGGTCTTCTTGAAGTCGAGTTGTAATCCACAGGGAAGGCTGCAATTCCTGACCTTCATTGGCGACTGCCTCAAGTCCTCACTTCCAGCAAGCCCGGCGGTGTCGTCTGCACTCGCCGGTGTGTGAAGCTCCAGCAGGGATTGGTGGGCTTTGTCTCTCCACGGGGTATACCTCAGCCATACCAGGAGGCCCTGACCAGCACGAAGGAAGAACCAGGGGTGAATGCATGGAGAGCGGCAGAGGGGCAGCATCGAGACACTGAGGCCGAGGCCAAGGGAGATGTGACTGCCGGCATGGCTGAGACGGGGCCTGCTGTGGATAAGAGGAGCTTATCCGTATAAAGCTGTTTTTTCTTTTTAAAACAGAATTTTGTTTTATTGGTGCCTATGACTACCCATGAAGAATTCTTATGGTTTATAGCATTTATGTATCCAGTTCCAGTTTTGAGTTCGCTGTTTGAAGTAATATTTGAAACCTACAGTGCTTTCTGTTCCTGACCTGAGATGGGGAAGGAGTCTTGCCTCTGAGCTTTGTGTGGCATTTCCCGTCCACAGATTACTGACCCCAGCAGGATAAAGTGCCCTGGGAGGGATAGTTGGTGTGTCGGTCCTGGTAGACTAGAGAAACAAATCCTTAGAAACTCAGGTGTGTATAAGAGAGAGTTTTATATAAAGGGTAATTGTACATCAAAAAAACAGCCCAGCCCTGTCCAGATCAAGTCCATAAGTCCAATATTAGCCCATATGTCTGATATCAATCTATAACGTCCTCTTCGAACTCACAAAACACATGCAGTGACGCCAGATGCAGGATGCTCACAGGTCAGTGGGTAGAAAGTTTTTGGATCCAGCGGTGTCGTGAGCACCTCAGTGCTGGCTGGGGTCTCAGGTGGCTCCTCCAGTTCCCAGGGCTGCATCAGGCTAGATCCATGTGGCTTCTCCTCAGGCTTCTCTCCTCAGGGATGTCTTGCAGGAAGTCAGACTTGTCAGCCAAGCGTGTCTCAGGGAGTGAGGAGAGAGTGTGTCTCCCACTTCCAAGGAGGAAATCCCAGAGTTTTCCCGGAATCCTCAGGGGAAGGCCATGCCCACACAGAGGCCTCAGTGGTTATATCTTGATTGACAGGCCAGACTCCACCCCTTCACTCTTAATCCTCTCAAATTGACACCAGATTGTGTAATTGCCACAGTTGGTGTCAGAGTAACGTAAGGGAAGTGGGAGCATGGAGGCTTGTCTGATCTCTGTCCTGTAGGACTCATCCTTGGGCAGACGAGGACTTGGATTGTCCGTCTCCTTCGTGTGGCTGGAGAAGGTCAGACCTGGCGCCCGCGCCGTTTCCTCACACCCATCCACGAATGAGGAGGGCTTGCCTTTCCTCTCAGCCAAGGCCTCCCATGTCCCGTGATAATGACGCGCACGCAGCCTGTCTGAACCCCTCCCCTCTGTTCTCTTGCAGATGCAGCCACCATCCTAGTGGACGAACAGAACAAGCGGCCCTGCTGGAAGTTTCTACTGATAGGTACTGCGCTCTGCTCTGCCCCCCCTGGCTGATTCTCAGGGCCTTCCCAGGGGCTGTGGTGCTTAGGTTCCCCAGGGCCTGGCCCTCCACTCTTCAGATCTAGAATGGAATTGTGTCCGCTCCCCAGAACCACAAGCGCTGGTTGCTTGTGGAAAGTCCTCCCGGGGGACACTGCTGGGCTTCAGAGGCTTGCTGATGGAGCTGGCCTGCAAGCCCGGCCTTCCTGCCCCGTCACTCCCAGCGGTCGGGGCTGGAGATGCTCAGAATCAGAGCCAAGGCTGCTGGTGGTCGAACCGTCAGATCAATACTAGCTATCAACGTGGTGGTGGATGAAAACCAAAGCAAGTTACAGGAGCAGCCCCATCCAACCCACTGCCATTAGTTCATTCCAACTGGTAGCAGCCACACGGGACAGGGGACACCTGCCCCCTTGGGGTTTCCAAGGCGGTGACTCTTTCTGGGAACAGACTGCCTCGTTTTTCTCCCATGGAGCAGCTGGTGGGCTGGAAGCCCAGGGTTTCACCCACTGCTCCACCAGAGCCCCTTGAGAGGACCAAGGTGGGAAAAGAAGACAAACTCAGGCCAGCAGTTGACCCCTGTGCTCTGAGGGACTGGGCACCAGGACCAAGCAGAAAGCCACGTGGTTAGCTGGCTCATGGGGAGACCACACTGCTCTCAGGAGACCGGCCTAGGGGACTGGGTGGGCACCAGGCCTGCAGGTCAGGGCCTTCTCCACAGACTGCCTGACATTGGACATCCCCAAACCCAGCCCAACCCACTGCTGTGACACGGATTCCAACGCCCACGACCCTGTAGGACAGAGTGGCACTGCCCCAGAGGGTTTCCTAGTCTGTTAATCTGCAGAAGCAGATGGCTTCTGTGGAGCAGCTGGTGGGCTCAGACGGCCAGTCTGCCCGATGCAACCAGGCACTTAGCCCTTGTGCCACCCAGGCTCCTAGGGCCCCCCTAACCCTGTTTTTTTAAATTTTTTAATTAAAAGATCATTTTATTGGGGGCTCTTACAACTCTTAGTACAGTCCATACGTTGATTGCATCAGGCATATTTGTACATATGTTACCATCATTCTTTTCTAGACATTTACTTTCTATTGAGCCCTTGGTATCAGCTTCTCTTTTTCCCTCGCACTCCACCCCCTCCCCTCATGACCCCTTGATAGATTATATAAATTATGATTTTTAAAAAACTTTTTCAATCGTTTTATTAGGGGCTCATACAACTCTTAGCACAATCCATACATACATCAATTGTGTAAAGCGCATTTGTACATTCATTGCCCTCATCATTCTCAAAACACTTGCTCTCC